TTAGAATATAAATGTTGCATGTTCATTTTTTTTTTGTATTACTAAGTGTCTCCAAACACATGTGATTAGTAGTATGTAAATATTTGAAGTAATGCATGTGTAATCTGAAGTGAGAGCTGGCCAAATTTATACCAATCTAAGCAAATTTTGGTAAGGAAAAATTATAATTGGATCATTTTAACTGTAGCCCTCATTTAACTTTGTTCTCCTAACTATGGAGGGTTTCATTTTGAGTCTTCAACTGCCAAAATTTATTTCCCATCACCCCAAAATTAAATGTCTTGCTATGTTTTGGACAAAAAAAATTCAAATGTGTTCCAGATACATTTCAAATGTCTATAACTTGGGCACTGTGAAATTGATGACCATAATTGGAGGTGCGATGCAATATGTACTTGTTGAGGAGATAATATAAAATTATCAGTTACTACTTGTGCCTGAAGGCACGGAGTAATAAAAAAAAATTTCAATCATAAATATATTTGTATTCACACTCAAAAATCAAATCACAAATATAAAGGAAAGAAAAATAAATTTAAGCACTGGTTGTAGTAGGGATAAGCGGTGATAGTGGTAATGGGCAATAATGGTAGTGATGGTAGACAGCGATGGTTGTGGAGGGTGGCGATGACCGTGTTGGTGGTGGTAATCGTGGATGGCAATAGTGATGGTGGTGAGGGTTTTTGCGTGATGATGGTGGTAGTGATAGTCATTGATGATGGAGTTGGTGATTGTAGGTATGGATGGTTGTGGATGACGATGATGGTGGTTGGTAGTGGTGGTGGTGGAGAGACAACGATAGTGGGTGGCAGCAGTGAGTGGGTGACAATGATGGTGGTGGATTGTGATAATGGGTGACGGTGGGCGGCAATGGTAATAATCGGTTGTGGATAATTACGGTGGTGGTAGTGGCGGTGGATAACGATGGTAGTGACAATGGTGATGGTGGTTGTGGCAGAAGTGGTAGCAGGGTGGCGGTGGTGGTAGTGGAGTGGCGACAGCGGTGGGGTGGTGATGGCGATGGTAATACTGAAGTGTTTTGTAGAGAAATAATTTTAAAAAAAAAGAATCACTTACAATTTGCTTGAGGTGTTTTAATTTATGACAGAAAACTGAATAGCAGTTTGAGCGAAGTTCACATTACTACTAATTTATAACATTATGGGTGCAAATTAAGATTTTTAATGTTTAAGAGTATAAAGTAATAATCAAAATATTTTTCGAGATACAAAGTGAGATTAACCCATGTTTTTATTGTTGGATTTGGATCTTCTCAAAGATTTTTTGTTAAATTATTGGACTTCGCTAATTAACGAGTAAAATGGTTACACCTATAATAGCATTTGAGAGTTGTTACTTGGGTGATGCAGATTAAGGGAATTCGGTATTTACATTGAGTAGAACGGATGACATGTTAACGCAACACAAATCAACATGAATTTAATGAGTTAATTAATATTTACTACTTATCGGAGCAAATTTGAGAAATGATATGACCCGCTGACAAACAAATCAAATGTTTCTAGATCGAATTAAACACAGAAATCCAATTTAACTCTGAAAGAGAAAATGTCTATTTTTTTTTCTATTTCTTGATCAAGGATGGTATACATTTTTATAAGACTAGCAATGTACTACGTGCGTTGCACGTGATTAATTTTTTTTTTAAAAAATTAATAAATAAATATTTAGTATATGTGTACTTAAATTAAATACAATCATAAATTATCAAACTTATTTTTTTTATCTTTCATGCGCCATTATAGAATTTTTTAAAATTTTGTATGTTTTCAAGATTTGTTATTCTACCTTTAAGAAACATGATACAAAAAGAAAATAAATAATTAAAGTTCTAGATTTTCTTTAATTTTAATTGAATTTATTTTTTAGTGATGTTTGAAAATAAAATTTTTTAAAATTTTTTTGATTAAGATTACACTTATAAATTATTGAACAAAATAAAAAGAATTATCAATATAGCAATCGTATTATAACCTCACTGTATTTAGGATTAGTCAGGTCAATTGAGATAAAATTTAATATACAATGTTATAATGTATATTATAAAGCATATTAAAATTTAAAAAAAAAATTAAGTTTTCACATAAAATCTTAACACAATTTAAAAAGTTTACTATAACTAAAAAATCATGTAAAACTATATATACATTATTTTTTATCTTAAAATGAAAATGGTTTTGATGAAAAATAAAATATACATATACAGTCACAATATTATTTTTATAAATGAGATGAGTAATATTATATTGTTGGAGTTTTTGAAGGTTTTTTTTGAATATTTTGTTAAAACTTATAATAATGCATATATTTTTTAAGAGTAATATTATCAATCAAAAAGTTTCATAAAAAATAACATTTATAAATAGAGAGTAGATAATTAAAAAATTAATTTGATTAAGATTACACTTATAAATTATTGAATAAAATAAAAATAAGTATTAATATACCAATCATATTAAAACCTTATGGTATTTAGGATTATCTAGGTCAATTTGGATAAAAGTTAATATACAATGGTATAATATATATTATAAAGCATTTTTAAATTTTTAAATCAAGTTTTCACATAAAATCTTAACAAAGACTGAAAAATTTACAATGACTACAAATTATGTAAAGCTATAATAAATTATTTTTTATCTTAAAAACGAAAGCGTTAACATTTTGATAAAAAATAAAATAGACATATAGGGTTAAATATTTTGATGAAAAATAAAATATACATATATAGTCATAATATTATCTTTATAAATGAGATAAGTAATATTATATTGATGAAATTTTTGAATTTTTTTTTAATATTTTATTAAAACTTATAATAATGCATATATTTTTTAAGAGTAATATAATCAATCAAAATTTTTTATAAAAATTGACATTTATATATAGGAAATATATAGTTAAAAGTGACCTTAAATGTAATTTGGAGATTTAAATGCATAAGGATGTGATGGTAATTTAGATATTAAATGTGAAAAGATATAGTGATCTTTTTAATTTTTTATGAGGGTATGTTAAGGTACTTTTATTAGTAGTATAAATATAGATTATAAGCTTTTTTAATTGGATTTTTTTGGCATATACATGAATTGGCTAATAGTTAACATAAATTTGAGATTTTATCACAATGTTACCAATCTATAGCTCTCTTTACTAAGTGAGACTCTATCTAGATCTAAAAAATCTGCCAAAGAGTCTTCTTTTAACTAGGAGAGTCAGCAAGCTATTGGAAGCGAAGCTTTTGACTCCCCTTTTTTTGAATTTTCAATTTTTTGACAATACTTAAACTTGACATGACACGACTTGATTAGTGTCTTACTTACTATATACATAGATGGAGGTTAGGACATCGATTTGTTTCGAAAAAACCCAAGTAATGTAGGTTCAAAGGGGCTCACAATAACATAAATCATTTTCAATCTACCTATTTTTATCTGTTTTTTTTATCTATGATCAACCAAGAAATATGAATGAGAAATAATAAACTTATCCCAAAGAGTTGTTTTTAGTAACTCAATCTCATATAAGCAAGACTCATTTTTTGAAGCCAAAATGCTTGTGTCATGCATGAAGCCAATACCCACTACACACACAAAAAAAAAAAAAAAAAAAGAAAAGTAAGAAAAACCTTGCCTATGGTGCAAGTGACATGAGTGTTGAGGGTTTGTTATGGATGCCTACAATAGCATATGGACAATATATATATATATATATATATATAATTCACTCATACACTCCATTCAATTCTTGTTCAACTCCTATTTTAGATTTTTCTTCTCTCTTCAATCCATTTCAATGCATGTAGTTTCGTTTAAATTCTTTTAATTTTTTTAAAATTTATTTCTAATTGTGCGAAAAATGGTACGAACGAACAACCAACCGTGGACAATCTTACTCCGATGTGATCATAGCTAGCAATCCCTACCCATTATAGAACCAAGAGGAGGGATTGAGACCGGAGGAACCACATGTGTTCCCTCAACCCGGTTGGGTCAGAGCCCAACTCGAGGTGCGCTAGGGGTTAGTAATGCGGATGTAGTAGGACCATCATAGGACGAAATTTTATATGTCATTCCAAAACTCGAATTTAGGACTTTTATGATCCATTTATATAATGAGCTCTATTGCAAACAATTTATCCTCAAGTAAAATCGATAAAAATTATTTCATATGATCGAAATCAATAAAAAAAACATAGGATAGTCAAGCAACAAACCTAAACAATTTCAACCCCAAGGAGGAGCTCAAGTGGTAAGAGGCGAAAAAAAAAGTGGTATTAGCGACAAACTATAAATTTAGACGTTCTGAGTTTAAATCTTAGTAACCCTTTAGAACCAGACTATTAGGGATTTATCTTTTATGAATACATTAATCCTGATGTAAATGACATATCTTTGATCAGACTAAAGAAATGATTAGTCAAAATGCGTATAAGCTGATCTGAATATCCCAAGAGGTTGATAAAAAAAATCTAAACAATTTTCAAAAAAATTTATTTCCCACTTGCAACAAATGCAGCCCAAAGTCTCCAACGACATAACCAATATCCGTCACCTTACCCTCCACTTTCTCTCTCCTAAACAACACAATAGCGTGTTTAGTATGCAAAAGTTCAGCCTACAACACAATCTATACAATACTCCACAACGTTTTTCATACATTCACACAATCTATAACTGCTGATCACTTCATCAAAAAACCTTTTCACTTCCTTTTTCGCTCTCAAACTTTTTGATGTATTGCCCCAACCAACTCATAACAGACCTTGCTTCTGTATACAAGTAAATATCCATATAGTTTGTCATCCATTAGTCTCATACCCCTATCTTGGTGATCTTTGCCTCCATTATTATTCATTGTTCATGCCCATAAGGAACATTGAGCTCCCATTATTTATTACCCACTTGTATAATCTTTCACTTCATCTCTATCTATAAGATAGTCTCTTCGATTTTCCAATCTTGAAAGAAATTGAAGGAATGGGAGCAATGAGATTGATGAGGAAGTTATTCCTAGTTGCTCTATGTTTGGCTTTGGTTTTGGGGCTCAGTGAGAGTTTCGATTTTCAAGAGAAGGAACTGGAGACTGAAGAGAGATTGTGGGATTTGTATGAGAGGTGGAGAAGCCACCACACAGTGTCTAGGAGTCTAGATGAGAAGCACAAGAGGTTTAATGTGTTCAAGGCAAATCTGCATTATGTTCACAACTTTAACAAGAATGATAAGCCTTACAAATTGAAGTTGAACAAGTATGCAGACATGACTAACCATGAGTTTAAAAGCGTTTATGCTGGTTCTAAGGTTAACCACCACAGGATGTTCCGAGGGATTCCCCATGGGAACGGAACGTTCATGTATCAGAACGTCAATATAGTCCCACCATCCGTTGATTGGAGGAAGAAAGGCGCTGTTACACCTGTCAAGGACCAGGGCCTATGTGGTAAGAATGTACTGGATTTTTATACTATGGTGATCACTTTGTCATTTCTTTGCTTTTTTTTTTTTCAACAAAATATAGATGCACAATATCATTCAGCACCCACCTAACACTGCACAGAGCACACAACACATCTAATCTAACATCCTCGCAACCCGAAAGACTAGATACATCCTCTCACATGTAGAGAGGACTAGGTCATTTCTTTCATAAACCTCATAGAGTTGTTTAGATACTACTAGCCAGTTATGGTCTGCTCATGGTTTAATTTGAATTGTTGATTTTATAGGTAGTTGTTGGGCATTTTCAACAGTTGTGGGAATTGAGGGAATAAACCAAATCAAAACAAACAAGTTGGTTTCATTATCTGAGCAAGAGCTTGTTGACTGTGACACTAAAGAAAATGAAGGTTGTAATGGAGGGTTGATGGATTTGGCATATGATTATGCCAAGAAGAATGGAGGCTTAACAACAGAGGCAAACTACCCTTACAAAGCTGAAGATGGAAACTGTGATGCACAGAAGGTAATCTAGGCAGCAACACCTAATTTTAGGTTAAATCTTGAATATTAAGATATTCAAGATAGCGCTTTTTGAAAATCTGTACTTTGGATTCTCACAGCCCTAAAATTGAATGGTTTTGCAGGCGAATTCTCCGGCAGTGTCAATTGATGGACATGAGGATGTGCCTGTTAATGATGAGGATGCAATGCTGAAAGCTGCTGCTAACCAACCTTTATCTGTCGCCATAGATGCCGGGGGTTCTGATTTCCAGTTCTACTCAGAGGTAAACTTCACCGTACATACCATATATCAAAAACTGAATTGTATGTGTTCTTTAGAATCCTTTTCTCTTGTTTGAAACAATTTTCTAAAGCCATTCCTGCATTGGGTAAATTTTGATCTTACAATTGTGTCATTCTTGAGTCACCAAGGGCGGGTTTTAGCGCAACATCAACTTAAGATTGCACTATTGTGCATCAAGGGCATTTTCAATTGCGGAAATCTTATACATTAGACTACCTTTTTTTTATCATCATTGGAGTCACCCTATGGATGGCAAGTAGGCCTATCAATAAAGTCGGATTAAGCAGGTTTGTATCAGGTCTTAACAACTTCATGTCAAAAAACACTCTACCCATACCCGATTCGTTTAGTATTTCATGTCTAACGAGTTGTGTCATATCGAATTCGTGTAGTGTATAAATCGTGTATAATTTGTATATAAACGAGTTGTATTATATATTTCTTTTGATTGACTTCACTCATACCTGTTTCGTTTCTTAATTGTGTCGTATCGGGTTCATTTGTTTACAATACGGGTGACTTAAAAAAGACTCAAACTCTCTAATTTCATGTCGTGTTAAAGAGTTGTATCATATTTTGACACCCCTAATGGCAGGGCGTATTCACCGGAAACTGCGGCACAGAGCTGGATCACGGGGTGGCGATAATCGGCTACGGAACAACCCTCGACGGAACCAAGTACTGGATAGTGAAGAATTCATGGGGGCCAGATTGGGGAGAGAAGGGCTACATAAGGATGAAGCGTGGCATCCATGATAAAGAGGGACAGTGTGGTATAGCAATGGAGGTCTCATATCCTATCAAGAACTCCTCAACTAACCCTGGAGGACCTTCTAAATCCCCTCCTAAGGATGAACTCTGAACCATGTTGACATTACCTTATAGCTTTGATTTCAGTCTCAGCTGTTATTTCTTCTGTGTTGAAGTTTCATGTCTCCTGTCATAAACATATCTACATTATAAGACAAAATTGATGTTGGTGTCATTTATTGTCTCTGTTTCAGATCTGTTTAGAGTATGGAGATGAAATAAATCTTTGTTTTGTTGGCTGGATTATTGTTTTCTAGATTGAAAAGGTTGATTTAATCGATAATGTTGCTTTTCTGTATTTAGCAACACAAGTTCTGAGTCGCAAAAATAATCTTTTTACATCAAAAATGAAGTTTGTATATTATATCTTTCTTAGAATCTGTAGTAGTGGAAATTTGGTTCACTAGACTAGTTCTCTATTAAAAAGCTTGATGCCACGTCATGATCATGCCATTGCCTAAAAAAGAACACACTTGCAATTTCATTTCTTTGGTTTATTTGAAGTTTCACTTAACGTTTACATAAATATTTATTTTGCTCCAGAGGCTTTGAAGGAATTTCTTCAATCTAATTTTTTTTTGATCCAAAACAGTCAATTGTGTCTCATTTTATTAAGTAGGAAAATTCGAATTACAATTAGTTTCAATAAAAGTCTTAAGCTCTGGGGGTGGACACCCAACCCATCCCTGCGGAAGAGAGTTATGCATCGTAGTAGATGCCACCCAATGAGCTGCCTTTAAATTGGCTCTAGGCTTGTGTAAAAATCTAATTTTGTGAGGTCTAGCCATGTACCTAATATCTTCCATCCTTGTGTTGATTTCCGACGGGGGGACGTTCTCTGTAGCGCTCAACTTGATCGCATTAAGACAGTTGCTCAAGATTGTTACATTCCTCAATGAGCAAGCATCTACCATGAGACATGCGTACCAAATATGTTGTGATCGTGCATCAATTATGGTGAATAGTAAGGAATCAAACAATTAAGAAAGCAGGAGAAAATAACACACAGAGNAGCTACTGCTTCAACAAATAGACTTGAATTAGCAAAGAAAGCTTTTGAGGTTCCATCCATCAGGCCTCCCTTAGGATTAAACATAAGCACTGCACTAGCAGCTTCCTTGGTTCTCTTCTTAAATGCTCCATCACAGCAAATCAGGATCCCAGAACTCTGCTGTTGCACCATCTCCACATTACTCATAGAAATCGTCTGTTTCTCTACGCAGTACATATCTTCCAAGATGAGAGACTCAACCCATGACCCTTTCCCTTTTAGAACTGTTGCATATGCATTTGGGGGCACATCATTGGAAATTTTCTGGTTCCTTCCTTTTCATATAAACCATCCCATTNTTATCAGCGTCCCCTATATAAATCCCGCAAGGCAGATGCCGTCGCTGGCTCCGCTACGCTCCGGCATCTGCCTCCTTGCCATTATGCACATAGCAAAATATGAGCCGCACATACTCTAACAAAATAGCTACTGCTTCAACAAATAGACTTGAATTAGCAAAGAAAGCTTTTGAGGTTCCATCCATCAGACCTCCCTTAGGATTAAACATAAGCACTGCACTAGCAACTTCCTTGGTTCTCTTCTTAAATGCTCCATCATAGCAAATCAGGATCCCAGAACTCTGCTGTTGCACCATCTCCACATTACTAATAGAAATCGTCTGTTTCTCTACGCAGTACATATCTTCCAAGATGAGAGACTCAACCCATGACCCTTTCCTTTTTAGAGCTGTTGCATATGCATTTGGGGCACATCATTGGAAATTTTCTGGTTCCTTCCTTTTCATATAAACCATCCCATTGTTGCCATCTTCCCAATACCTCATTCCACCTTTGAGGCTTGCTAACTGCTTCCAAAACCTGGGAGGTATGTTGGGCGATTGACATGAAACCCACCTGTTCCACCTTAAGAGCCAAACCCATACCAAACCACACTTTTCTAGTCCATTCAAATTCAAAAAGGAGGTGTTCAATAGACTCAGGGGCACACAGACAAATTTTACATTCTGGTGAAGGAGCACACTTTCTCTTATAGAGGTTCTCTTGGGTTGCAAGGATGTTGTGGCATGCTTTCCACCAAAAAATGTTTCACCTTAGGCACTGCCTGCATGGTCTATATCGTCTGCCACATCTTTGGGTGAGGGGAGAAGGAGGAGCTTGTCTCTCTTGGGCATGTGTCTCTGGCAATCCCTAACTTGTACCCTGATTTCACCTTGTATTCCCCTTTTTGATCAGGCCACCAAATCCTTGTATCCTTACCACCTTTTGTTGGGATTGGGATAGACTAAATGACCCTAAATTCTTCCCTTGAAAATTTGCCCTGGAGTGACTGGGCATCCCATTCTAAAGGCCTTGCTTTTATAGCATTAGCAACCTGGGTAATCAGACTGTCATATGGTCTTGGAGATTGTACTTTATACTCTGCTAACTGGGGGGATCCATTTGTCATCCCAGAAATTTACCTCCTTCCCATCCCTGATTTGCCACCTCAAGCCTTTTCAAGGAATTCTCTTCCATGCAGGAGGCTACATTATATCCAAGAAGGTCTGGCCCCTCGCTTAGCTTTCAGAAAGTCCTCATTGTGGAAGTAAATAGATTTGATGAACCTTGCCCAGAATGCATCTGGTAGGCTAATGAGTCTCCAACCTTGTTTCGCCAATAACGCTTGATTGAACAGATTAAACTCTTTAAATCTCATTCCTCCAACATCTTTCAGTTCCACCATCTTCTCCCAACATTTCCAGCTGATTCCCTTGCTTCCCTCCCCATTTTTCCACCAGTATTTCCAAGTATACCCATTAAGTTGATGGCAAAAGCTTTTTGTGAGCTCCACCACTGACATGATGTAATTGGGAATGACTTGAACCATCGCTTTGATCAGCACCTCTTTTCCTGCTTGGGACAGCAGGGTACTTCGCCATCCTTGGAGCTTTTTCACCACCCTTTTTAGAATGTAGCCAAAGATCTCCTTTCTCGAGCTGTTCCACCCAGTAGGAATCCCTAGATACTTTGCATTGTGTGGGAGGCATTGCATACAGACTGCATATAGATGTTTTTTTTTCTAATGAAGCGTTGGATGAGAAGATGATACCTGATTTTTGATGGTTGGTACTCTGACTTGATGCATCACAATATCTCTTAAGAATACTGNAGTATACCCATTAAGTTGATGGCAAAAGCTTTTTGGGAGCTCCACCACTAACATGATGTAATTGGGAATGACTTGAATCACCGCTTTGATCAGCACCTCTTTTCCTGCTTGGGACAACAGGGTACTTCGCCATCCTTGGAGTTTTTTCACCACCCTTTTTAGAATGTAGCCAAAGATCTCCTTCCTCGAGCTGTTCCACCCAGTAGGAATCCCTAGATACTTTGCATTGTGTGGGAGGCATTGCATACAAACTGCATATAGATGTTTTTAGTTCTAATGAAGCGTTGGATGAGAAGATGATACCTGATTTTTGATGGTTGGTACTCTGACTTGATGCATCACAATATCTCTTAAGAATACTGGTAAGTTCCAACAACCCCTCTTCCTTTGCCTCGATAGTAAACAATGAGTAATTTGCGAAGAACAGGTGGGAAATAGCTAGGCTCCTCCTCTTTACCTTTATCCTGACAAATTTCCTTTTCGCCGAACCATTGTTGAAAAAAGGAAAATAAACCTAAATTTTCTTAATTGAAAGCAATACAAGTTAAATTGAAAGTTTTATCATTAAAGTTCCTTATGAAATTAACAAACATAAATCAAGGACAACTTGGATAGGTCGGAGGATTTGAGAAAATAATTCAGATTTGATCAACGTTATAAAATTCTCAATCCAAATACAACCGAAACTTTTCAACCCAAGTATTGCTCGTACTAAAATTATTCGAATTCAAGAAATGTAATTTGGGTCAATTTTTTGTTAGAGTTTGGGTTTATTTCAATTTTTTTATCTAGTTACACAACTCCAAGGTGTTCAATATGGGTTGAATCTGAATTCACTTTAAGTGTTGGGTTTGCAAAACTCAATATCCCAACTCAGTGTTGTCTAAGTTTTGATAAGTTTGGAATTATTTTTCCTACGTCTCACCCAAAAACTGAAAAAAGAAAATGATAAATAGACTCAAAAACTGACTTATAAACTTAATTTGATGAATCATTATCATTGATGAAATCACAGTTAAATGAATGACAAATATAACAGTTACATTACTGAGTCAGGTTTTTAAATCAATTTTTTAAGTCCGTCTAATCAACCATTTAATTTAGGTGGGGCTATTTTCACCCCATTTAATTTCTCATTATCAAATTATCAAGCTCACCCATTCTATATCCATCTCATTAGTAACTAAGTCCACCACATGCTACATACACCCTCTTTAATAAGTAAACTTATTTTATAGTTTGTTATAATTAGGGTTTCATTTTCTCTCTCATCTCATGCACTCACAAAAATAATTTTTCAATATGAATTTTTCCAATGAGATACAAGTTAATATTNACTTTATATTTTGTTATAATTAGGGTTTCATTTTCTATCTCATCTCATGCACTCACAAAAATAATTTTTCAATATGAATTTTTTCAATGAGATACAAGTTAATATTACTTCTCAATTTAGTTCTATATTTGATTTCATGTTTGTTATATGAATTTTCATTATTTTCGGTATATTTTGATNATTTTATAGTTTGTTATAATTAGGGTTTCATTTTCTCTCTCATCTCATGCACTCACAAAAATAATTTTTCAATATGAATTTTTCCAATGAGATACAAGTTAATATTACTTCTCAATTTAATTATATATTTGATTTCATGTTTGTTATATGAATTTTCATTATTTTCGGTATATTTTGATATCTCTTTTAAATTTGATATTCATATGTGTGTATATATATGTATGCTTTCAGATTATTTATTCTTTTTTATATGCTTTTTTTTTCTTGTTCGATTTTGTGCCTACACTTAATGGTTGTTTTTTTTTTTCATATTCGATTTTGGGTCTTATAGTTTTGTTTGTTCCTTTAATTTTTGCTTGGTTTTTTTTTCTTATTTCGGTTTGTTTCTTNTCTTGTTCGATTTTGCGCCTACACTTGATGCTTTTTTTTTTTCATATTCGATTTTGGGTCTTATAGTTTTGTTTGTTCCTTTAATTTTTGCTTGGTTTTTTTTTCTTATTTCGGTTTGTTTCTTTCTTTATGTTTTTTCCTTGTTTCATTCTTTTCTTTTTTCTTATTTCAATTTGCTTCTTTTTTTTCCTTGTTTCAACGTGCTTGTTTTTTTTAACTTGTTTCATTTTTTTTTCTTATTTCGTAAATATATTTATGCATTCAAACTAACTGTCTTCTTTCATTATTTTTTTCTTACAATAATTTTTTTTATTAAAAGGNTTCCTTGTTTCAATGTGCTTGTTTTTTTTAACTTGTTTCATTTTTTTTTTCTTATTTCGTAAATATATTTATGCATTCAAACTAACTGTCTTCTTTCATTATTTTTTTCTTACAATAATTTTTTTTATTAAAAGGGTGTACGTAGAATGAGTAAACTTAACTATTAATAGAGTGTATGTAACATGAGGTAAACTTAGTTACTAATGAGATGANTCCTTGTTTCAACGTGCTTGTTTTTTTTAACTTGTTTCATTTTTTTTTCTTATTTCGTAAATATATTTATGCATTCAAACTAACTGTCTTCTTTCATTATTTTTTTCTTACAATAATTTTTTTTATTAAAAGGGTGTACGTAGAATGAGTAAACTTAACTATTAATAGAGTGTATGTAACATGAGGTAAACTTAGTTACTAATGAGATGAGTATAGAAGTGGTAGGTTTTAGTAATTTAATAATGAGAAATTAAATGCGAGTAAAAATAGAGATTTGTGAGGAATGAGAATAGCCCACCCATTAAATTTTTGGTTAGATTCCGGTTGACCCAATATGAATCCCCTGTGCCTTGAACTTCCAANAAACTTAGTTACTAATGAGATGAGTATAGAAGTGGTAAGTTTTAGTAATTTGATAATGAGAAATTAAATGCGAGTAAAAATAGAGATTTGTGAGGAATGAGAATAGCCCACCCATTAAATTTTTGGTTAGATTCCGGTTGACCCAATATGAATCCCCTGTGCCTTGAACTTCCAAGTAAATCCGTTTTTGTATAAAGACCAAAAACAAAAACAATTAACAACAAAGACAAAAGAAAGCAGACAGATAAGGTTTTTTTTTTTCTCGGTACAACAAAAAATTAAAGCAGATCAAAAACCTCTAACATAGGCGATGCTAGCATTGTCTTTTTTCAAAATCTCACCCAATGAACAAGGTGGAGAATTGAGGAGCACTAAACTATCATATTGAATGACATCCAGATTCGTAAGCTTGTCAGCATTGAAGTTTCCTTCTCTTTTGGTGTGAAGGATGGGGCAGTTAAGGAGAGTGAGGAGTCTTTTACATTCAGAAATGATTCCTCTCTCCGGGTGCATGTCTTCTATACNAGGCAATGCTAGCATTGTCTTTTTTCAAATTCTCACCCAATGAACAAGGTGGAGAATTGAGGAGCACTAAACTATCATATTGAATGACACCCAGATTCGTAAGCTTGTCAGCATTGAAGTTTCCTTCTCTTTTGGTGTGAAGGATGGGGCAGTTAAGGAGAGCGAGGAGTCTTTTACATTCAGAAATGATTCCTCTCTCCGGG